GCACTATTAACTCTGGTTTAAAAAATTGTTATTAATAATTTAATACATATAAGACAGTATCTTGGGCTATTTTAATTTGCAATTCTTTAATTATTAGGGAAATAAAACATTTTTCCCAGCATTTGTTCATTATTTGTATTTTCCCTTGTGTAAACCATTTGTTTATACCCTTTTACCATCTGTCCAGTCATATCTGAGTTTGCCCATATAGATAATATTAATTTCCCTTATATTATAACAGTAAATGTTTATAGGTTAATACAATGCTCCCCTGCTGTTTTCCTTTTTTACTTTTCCAATTTGGGACTGTGATGGTTCATTTTATGTGTCAATTTGACTGGGCCACAGGATACCCAGATAACTAGTTGAACATTATTTCTGGGTGTGTCTGTGCGGGCGATTCTAGAAGAGATTCATGTTTGAATTGGTGGACTGAGTAAAGCCAGTGGCCCTCCCCAGCGTGGACCAGCATCCAATCACTGAAGGCAGAGGAAGGTTGAATTGCTCTCTGCCTGACTCCTTGAACTGGGTCATCGGTCTCCTACTGACCTCAGCACTCCTGCTTCTGAACACTCCATCTCTCAGAGCTTGAACTACAACCCAGCTTCCTGGGTCTCCTGCTTGTAGACTTCTCCATCTCCATAATCATGTGTGCCAACCCCTTATAATAAATTTCTCTATATTATATACATCTCCCATTGGTTCTGTGTCTCTGGACAACCCTGAATAATACAGGACTAATCATTTTTTGTTCTGTATTTTGTGGTCAGCATGTACGCATTTTAACCTCCCTGCACTGAACCTGTCCATCTCTGCATTGGTTCATTGGTAATTCCTTTAGCTGCTTCCATTGCTCGAAAATCCTTTTCTTTCCAAATGGATATGTGTAGCCTTGTTTTATTTCATAGGTATATATGTACACACACATATATATGACACTAAATTTAACTCAAAAATTACTACTTTTGGTTGAAGTAAGTTATCATTCTAAGCCTTAGACTCAAAGCTTATTTTCCTGTCTTGATAGTAACCTTCCCCCAGAACACATATTGAAGGATTTTTATCTCCCATTGTTTATAATAGATTAAATATATATTGATTTGGGGAATCTCTATTTGCCTCCCAGGCCTAATTTTTGGTTAGCCCATTTTTGATAAATACTGTTTCCTAACAAGGAACTTTAGTATATGGTGTAGCCAGTATTACTTTTATTACAAAAGTATTCTTTTTCTCCACACTTATTTGAGTTATTTTGTCAATTTTTACAAAGTAACCCGTTGGAATTATAAATGATAATGCTTAAGTCTATAAGTTAACTTAAATATTATTTTAATCTTCACCATTCCAGCTCTCTGGTCAGCGGGGAAGTATAACTTCCCATTTTTCACCAGAAGTCATATGATTACAGACTTAAGAGAATTCAGATATCAGTTAATTTCTAGTTCTAGGCCATCCTGCTCTGCGCTTATCCCATTTTACAGATGATCACCAAGGCCCCCAAACCTATATCTGGTTAGGGAATAGCTGAAAATAAGACCTATTTCATCTGGCACTTTTTCTATCGCACCATTTACTCAAGTCTTCATTCGCTTCTTTTAATGCTTTAAAACGTTTACAGATGTGGATGCACAGGTGGCTCAGTTGGTTGAGCGTCCGACTCTTGATTTCAGGTCAGGTCATGACCTCGGGGTAATGGGATCAAGCCCTGGGATGGGCCTGTGACAGGCCCATGACAGGCCACCAGTGGGCTCCAAGCACAGTGGAGAGTCTGCTTGAGATTCTTTCCCTCTGCGCCTTCCCACACACACACTCTCTCTCTCTTTCTCAAAAGAATAAATCTTAAAAAAAATAAAATGTTTACAGATGTTAGTTAGGTGTATCCCAGTTGGTTCATTTCTAGGACTTTTCTAGATTGCCATAGAAAGTATGGGCATTGATACTGAACTTTACGCATATGGTTTCTTCAGTGAGGAGAAAATGCACACAGCTTATTCTCTTTTTTTTTTTTTTTTTTTTTTTTGGTAGGGAAAAGCAAACCAGCTTTTGAACTGACCTCCCATTTTCTGGGTCACTCTTACCTTTTTAGGGATTTTATTATGGACAATAGTTTCTTATGTACCACAATCTGCGGGGAAGTATGTTAGGTACACAAAGAGGTAAAGTTACAGAATCTTGCCTTTCTAAGAGATTCTCACAATCAAATTCAAAACATTAGATATAGAGTATCAGTTTCAAACAATAGAAAATCCCAAATAACAGTGGTTTAAAGAAAATATGGACTTGTCCATGTAATGAGAAATCTGAAGATAGGAAATCCATTACATCGGTTACACAATGTCATCAGGGACCTAGGCCAACTGCCTGACTTCCACTTTGATATCAGGGTGTGGGGCTCATAATCATGTATATCAGAAGATTGCTAATGCTCTAGCCATCATGACTAATTTCCAGGGTGAAGGAAGACCAATAGGCCAGTACTAACCCAGTCAGATCTTTCTAAACTGGTTTTCCTGGAAGCCTCTAGATGATGTCTGCTTTTGTCATTGTCCAGAACTGTGTCAAATGACCACCACCAGCAATAAGGGAGCTGGTGGGTGAAACAGTTTTAGCTAGGCACACTGCTACCCTCAATAAAATCAAAGATCTGTCTGTAAATAAAGACAGGAGAATGGATATTGACCAAGTAGCTTATAGTCTCTACCACTCAGCATCCGTGGTAAAACATAAACAAGGGTTTTCTTTAGACTAAGACCATTTGCTAATGAGAGATCGGCACATGGTCTTCATGGTTAAGTTGGACTTAGACAAATGGTGGTGGGCAATAACCCCAGTTTAGAGATAAAGAAACTGAATATTTGGCCAAGGTCATGCATCTTAAAATGTAAGATACCCTGAATTGGGTCTTAGGCCAGACTCCATGTTTTTTCACAATGTCACAAGGTTAAATTTATTTCTGGAGAATAAGTTTATTTATTGGGATTAGGAGGGAGGAAGATGAGTCGGATACACTTCTGCTATTTCTTGACAGTTTCTAAAATCGAAACCTCAGGGGGACTCTACAAACTCTTCAACCAACTAGCCATGGGACCATGGACAAGCTACTTAACCTGCCTGGATCTGAATCAAATATGAAACCAGTCAGACATTAGAAGAAAAGAATACTACAGACCACTATCCCTCATGAACACGGATGCAAAAGCTCTAAACAAAATTTTTAATAAAATTAGATCAATAAAAAATTTAAAAATGCAATCTAACTATATTTTCTGATCCAGCATATATGTGTGTGTATAGATCTATATCTTTATCTATAAATCCTGGATTCATTCTTTTTTTTATTTATTGTAATTTTTGAAGATCTACCTAGGAGGTTCCCAACAGTGAGCTAAACACTATACATTGTGGAAGGAGAATGAACAAGGCTGAAGCTTACAGTATTGGGCTAGGGAAGATTAAAAAAAAAAAAGCTTCAAATGCTGTTCTATGGTTTATTGGTTTTGCTACCATTTCTGAATTGATATCGTGCATCAAAAGCTAAAAAAGAGGCATAACTTTATTGGAAGCCTCCTCTATCAAAATTCAAAAGAGAGGAAGGGGGAATGGCAAGAGCAATCTCAGAAGAGGATACAAAACGCTGCCTTTAGAGTAAAGCACACACTAAACAGCACACGCAAGTTCCACAGGTAGAGATTGGAGGATGGGAGATGCTTGGTGCTAAATGTACCTTCCAGATGATATATTGTATAGTACCTTTCAAGTGGAAAGTGTAAGAATTAGGAATTTTTGGCACTGAGAGAGGGCTGTATGTGTGTGTGTGTGTGTGTGTGTGTGTGTGTGTATCTCTATCAAGAAAAATCTCAAGAACATCCTTCTGACTTCTCTTGTCTTCTGTTTGGTGACACTTCCATTTAACTCTATAAAAAATAGTGCTGTCCTGGCTTTGGAAAGCCACACTTCTGATCCTGATTCCTACATACTGGTTGGTTGTTATAATAGTGTTATAATAGTGATAAACCACTAGCTACACTGGCCCCATTTTCACCATGGACGATTTAAGGTAGGTGGCCAGATGATCTTGCCCGCACCTTCCAGCTCTAAACAAAATGCATGGCATAGGTGAGTGATCTCTGCCACTTGGATCCCAAGCATACAGCATGCTTAAAGTAATCACATTATTTTAATATGAATTCTATACATACAACCTTATGACATGGCATGCAAAACACTGGAAAAATTACATCACTGGAATCATCCAAAATGAGGTCGATCACTTAACATTGCAGTGCTGTGACATCTTTGATACTATTATTTACCCAAGAGAAAAGGAAGCACATATGCATACAAAGATTTGTCCAGGAATGTTCCTAGCAGCTTTATTTCTAATAAGGAAAAATTGGAAATAATATACATGTCTATCAATAGATGACTAAATATATATATAAATATATCCATAAATGGGATACTACTCAGCATGAACAAGGATTCCATTTATATGCAACTCAAGAAAATGCAAAATAATCTGTAGTTCCACGATACATACAATTCTGCAAACAAAGTAAAACAGATCGGTGTTTGGGCTGGGGCGTGGGAAATGGAGTGGGGAAGGGTGGTGGAGGGAAGGGCCGGGGGAGAAGCATGGGGAGGCGGTGGGCACGCCGGAGCAATCAGGTGGGCAAGGGAGAAGGGGGCTAGGGAGGCCGGTAGGGGTAGGCGCGGGAGATAAGTAGGAGGAGGTACTGGGCGGGGAGTTGGGTGGTGGCAGGACTTGCGAGGGTGGTGGCAGGGGTGCCAGAAGCAGTGGGAGGAGAGAAGCAGGAAGAGGAGAGGCAAGGGTAGGAGCCCTGCGCGACGGAGGGAGGCGGGGCGCGCGGGGAGGGAGGCGGGGCGCGCGGGGAGG